TAACTCTGTTTCACCATCATAGCTTTGAGATTGGTTTTTGTAATTTTCTTTCTTCTTCTTTCTTTGGGTTTATAAGAAACATAAAACAAAAGCTTTTTGAGATTCTCTTAGAGAAAATTAGGGGGGAGAAAAAGAGAGAAGAAGCTGACTGTACTTTACATGCAAATGACTAAGTAAGAAAAAAAGATGTTTACTTTGCTATGAAGTCTTTTGGATTTGGCCAATGACTAATCTCATCTGTTTTTTCTTTTCTTTATATTTGTATATACACAAAAGATATAATCTTTTGCCTAATGTTAAGCCCCAAGAAAAAGAAGAAGAAAAACCCATTTTTGTCAGATCCGTTTCAGACATAAGCATATGCACAAAGTTCTTCAAAGTTTTCAAGAAAGAAGCTGCAAATTGGTGTTTATTTTTTTTTTTTTTCTCTTATCCAAAAAGGAGAAGAAAAAGAAGAGACTAGTGATACAGATTAAGATGATGAAATTTTAATTAATACAATGGATCATCTTTTGCTTAGGTCAGCAAAACCCACAAAGATATAAAGAAATCTACAAAGCGGAAAGAAATTGAGAAAAAGCAGAGATCAGAAAAGCTCTGTTAGCTGTTTAGTAGATTAATTTATTGGCCTAATTTTAAAGCAAACTTATCATTTTATCCTCTACACATTTGAATATTGTTCTTTGCTCATTACAAGAATTTATTTGTACAACTTTGTTCTTGAGATAAGAAGAACTATTCATGCAAGTAGGGACACAAGCCATGTGGGATTAGTGGATCTTGATACTTTCTTCTAAAAAGAATACATGGGTACAAAAGTATGTGTATAGCCAAAAGCTACCATTAAACTATTGTCACAATGTCGCATACAAATTTTTTTGACAGTAGTTCTTGTATTCATTTGAAGAGAGTATTAATTGGGATTGTTTCAGATAATAGATCCCTTGATAAACAGCTTCAAAAGGAATATCATGAAACAAGAGCTAATACACTGTTGATTACTCACTTATGGGGACTAATTACATTCTTCACGATATTTGGTCCATCAACATATCTGAGAAGAAAGGATCTGAAACAGCCTCTTTAGCTGATTTATACTTCTCCATCCGCTTCTTCAGTGACCGTAG